CCTTCTCATTTTTTTTCATAATTTAACACTAATTGTATTTTGTGCACATAATTGTTAAATTATAGTAACCGTGTGCCTTCAAATTAATTATTTAAACATGATTTTATCATTCTTGAATCTTGATAGTTTATTGCAATTAAAAGGACGCTATACCCGCATGCGTTGTGTCCATCTTACAAGTGCGTATCATAACAAATTTTACACTCGGCTGATCACATTTAGCTCCGTGAGTTTAAAATTTTAAGTGAATTAACCTCTTATAAAAATTAAAGGTAAAATTATTGTCAAGAGCTTCTCGTAGGCTTATTACTATATTTTTATTTTAAAGCGAGTGACTTTACGTACCTGTAAAATATGTACGTGATACCACCCATTTATGACTATATTGGTGTAGCCGTGTAGCTTACATCAAAAACTTTAATAAGCCATTAGTATCAAAAGCATGTGGAGGTTAACGATAGGAGCGTGGTGAATAGGTTGTACCTAAAATTTACCAAATCATAAGTATTTTCATACTTCACTTTTCAGAAATGATTGGAATTCATGAGAAAGGATCCATTACAGTTAGCATACTAAGTTGAATCATGAGATCACCACCATTACAACCATCACCATCACTGCTAATGACCGAATGATACATAAGAAGACGGGGATAAGAGATCGTCAGACGGTTTATAAAATGTGAACCAAACGGGTAGCAGATAGGGCTAAACAAGACACTTGGAGGCAGGTAGTAAAATACTAAAATCACTCACACTCTTAACTATATACATTTCAGAGTCAGGTCGTAACAGCGCTCACCACATAATTATATTTATTTTTATGAAGTTAAATAAACAACATAATATTTAAATACATCAAGAGCTAATTTATACGTTGATGCCTATATAAATCGGCGTCAGTTGGGATGCAATATTAATATAAAATTTAATAATAYCAACCTTATATGAGTAATAAAATAGCGATGTTGACATTTGATTTAAATATAGAAGGAAAACCAATACAAATAACAAATTTACAATTATGTAGGTATAATTAAATTACTGAAAATGAAATATACAAAATAATATTATAACATATACTTTGGTACCTGTCTAAATATATGTATTATTAACGCAATTAAGCTCAAAGCAGGGAAAGTAGAAGTATTAAAATAAAAACATAGTTTTAATTAGTTGATTTATAATATATGATATATTTTAAACATTGTCTTTGTGTATGACGTGTTATGATTCATAACTTATGAACTATATTTTATACACTAAATAATTACGTTAAACATCAAAATTCTGTGCTGTACGTCGAGCGTGGCAGCAAAATGTTGGGCGCAGGCGTATAAACGAAAAAATGTAAACTTTGGATGGATATAATTTCCAATATAATGGTTTCCGCAATTTTTTCTTATTGCACCACCGTCCTTAACTCATCGAAATACGTATGAATTTTTAATAAATGCTTGGTAGCTAAAGTGAATTTTGTACCATGAAATATATTTTACATGTGATGGAGCAACTTAGAATTTGATAGGGAATTGTAGCCTTATAGGGGAGCATTGTAATGGCCCTTGTGGGGTTTCAGCTAACTCGGACTTGATTTGCTCTCGCTATGGCCCAAGTTCAGTAAAGCAGTAATTCATCAAATTAGGCAGTAGGTACCTACCGTGAATAGTCTTGCAATCGTTTATAATTTATGCAATAGTCAACAAATTTTGTTTTTGTTTTTTATTTGAAAGCGTTTAAAGCTTTTTCAAATTTTCCATAACTTTTAAATAGATTGCCATGACGTGTATCTTGATAAATTTGGTTATTAAAACTTTAATACTAAATTTTAGTTAATAATACTACTTTATCATTGTTAAAACTGTSACTGTTCAATTCAAAAAATATAATGAAAAAACTAGTCATAAAAATAAAGAAAAAGTAAATATCTACCAACAAATGAAACCAATCAAAATTACAGTAATTTATCAAGCGATGAGTGATAAAATGCAATTTTAAAGTTTACCTAAACCTGTATTTTAAAACATTTAAATTTTAAATTCAAATGTATGGCGCATGAAGATTAGAGATCTCTAATCTCTTTATCTCTAATCTTTATGGTATGCAGAATTCAATAAAACTTGACCTAACTGATAAAAGTGATAAAGATTGCGCTGAAATGATGCGCAAACTTACAACTTACCGTGTCCGAGCAACAGCATTATAAATTACGTTTAATATTTTTATCGTGATATTTATTATAATCACAGACTTCTATAATTATATATTATTATAATTATAATTATATATTATTATAATTATAATTATATATATTATATTATGTTATTAAGTATAGAATATAGATGTCTGTGATTATAATAAAAATTATTATTGATAAGATTATCAATTTAGATTTATTTTAATTTGTCTTCTAACTTCTAAGCTATATAGGTAGTAGTCCGTACTTCCGTAGTATTTAATTTACTATGAGTACCTACATTGTACATTATAAAATTCTTATCTAATATAATTATCCGTTAAGTTTCCCAGTTAAAAAACTGGTGGAGCTCAGACCAAAAGCCTGAGTTCAATCAAAAACTGAAATTTAAAGGTTCATTAGAAAAATACAATGGTAAGACGTTTTTTGATATGTATTTGACATTTTTTYAACCCTAACAATTTCAGTGTGAAGATGAATGGTCAGATATTGAAAGAMGATTTGAAAAAGAAGGCATTGACTATAGCCGTTTGAAGACAGAGGAGAAATTGATTCATGTTTGGAGATGGTTAGTTGATGCTGAAATAAATTTACAGAATGCAAGAAAAATGGTTGAAAAACTTCGTTTTAAACAGAATGAAGAATTGGAGGTATGTTCTATTATAAGTTTAATCTTAAAYTTCAAAAACATTAACTAAATGATATTTAGGATATGGAAAATTACATGGTTCATGTACGAGTGCTTGCTGATAAACGAATTGATGATATGGAAAAAACTATGTCCATTTTTGCTGAGCAAGTTGCAAGACTTGAATGTGAATTAAACAGTTTAGAATCGATAGATGGTGATAACGTCTGCGACAAGGTAATACTAGATAAATATGATAGACTAAATATGCTTTATTAAATATAAAATTATTTATCGTACATTTATAATAATAAAAAAAAATGTTTAACTTTTGYTAAGAATATTGAAGTATGGGKTAAAAATAAATGTAATAAACATCATTATTTTTTTGAAACATATTACTTTCTTATAGCTTAAAAATTGAAAAGTATTATTTTAAATTTAATTTTATACAAGTTGATCAGTTCCCTTCTTCTGTGAAATTTTTCTGGGAATTTGATAGTAAATTAAGAAGAGATTATACCATGTTAATTACAATTAATTATATTTTTTTTTTTTAACTTTAGAAGCATACAATTTGATGCTGAAATAATAGTAATATCATAATGTTGTAGAAAAATATTAATCGTTTTATTAAATAAAATGTTTGTTAACWATACTTATTTTTCTTTTAGGTTTCAAATTTGATTCTTGGTTACACATCCCTTTTGAATGAAGTTAATATATTAAAACAATTTAAAAGTTTTGATATAAATGGAATATGTAATGGATCTGATGATGTTTTAATAGTTGAAATGATTAAAGTAAACAATTCACTTTATATGCCTATCATAACACTAAAATTAAATACAAATWATTTACTTTTAGATTTCGGCTGAAAAAGAATCTTTAAAAAGACAAGTTAAAGAATTAGAAGATCGGATAAGTGTTTATGACATGAATAAAACAGATTATAATACTCAACTAATATCTATGGAGGTAATATTTTATAGTGCTATCATGAATCTAGTCACTTGATTGCAGCGCGCCTGCTGTATTTAGGAATTCAGGTGTTTTAAACATTTATCTTATCCTCCTATCATAATTTTAAGAACCCTTACAGAGATATGGCTAAGATACRTGTCAAAATCAAGTGACTAGTTTTGTGATGCGTTCTATAGTATATTTATTTCAACATATTATTAAATAAATTATATTTCCTATTTGAGACACAAAATAATAAAATAACAAATAATTTAGAACTATTTTTTTTTTTTAATAAGAAACAAAATTTCAACTAATTGCATTAATATTGCATTGCCTTTATTAGCAAGTATATGAACAATTAAAATTAATAGTAAAAATATTGTTGCGATTTAATACAAATTAAAAAAAAAATATTATTATCTATTTCTTTTTATTTAATATGCGCTCTTTCTAATCTTAGCAATCAGAAAGTTCAAACAAAATTGATGGGAAAGATTCATTATTGGGTAATTGATATATTTTTCTAGWTTTGCCTGTGTAATCAATTTCTAGTGATGAGTTACAATTATGTTTGATAGTTTTATACTTCTACTGTTGATAATTTTGAGCTGAAATAAATTTAAAATAATAATTTTTGTYTATGTTATAGCAGATTATATAATTAATTATTTAAGTTTGGAAGTTGAAAATTTCTTTTCATCATTGAATTTTGTATGCAATATTACCAAAAGTTATTATTAGGAACAAAATATGTTTTTTAGGATGAAAATSTAAAAATTTGAGAATTTTCAATTAATAAATAATATGATAAACTAATAATCATATTATATGTTATTTTTTAATAAATATTAAAAATGAAAAAAAAAATTATCAACTTCTGAATAACCAAATTTAATTTAAATCTAATATTTTTGTGCATGATATGTAATTTAAATTATATTATGTTTGAAATATGAGCATGAATGATAAATATTTACATATTTTTTGTATAACAACTGAGTAGTTAAAAATACTTTTTAACAGTTAATAAATTAATGAATAAATATATAATWCAAGTTTAAATAAAAAAAATTGTGGAAATTTCCTTGGATTTTTGCTGTATATTTACAACATGTAATTGAATATATTATGAAATTTTAAATAATACGTTATAATTGCATAGTTATTCTTGAACTCTAAATGAAGCATGTTGAGTTGAATGCATGGCCTAAAAAATATTACTTCTAGTGCCTATGTTATTAATACTTATTTAATATATTTATTAAATTCCATTTAAAGAGCATGTAATTTTTAATTTTGGTTAGTTTATAACAAAATCTTTTAAAATAATTTCATCGTTTTWATAATTTAAATTTAAAAATATTACATATTAACTGTCCTATTTATTTCACTTAATAACGTGTTACTGATATAGATAGCTTAATTTTGGTTTTTGTAGATAATTAATAAAAATCTTAATTTTAATACACATTTTATCTATTCAATTAATTGTTTTTAGATAATTCAATATCTTGGAACAGAAATATAACAAATGATGACACATCAAGTATAAGCATCCAATTATTTAGGTAATTGAGGAACTAACTASTATAATATGAGATATTGTTTTTAATAAAATTTATYTATAATATTTTCAGTGATAGAACAAAATCAGCAAGCAATTTTTGTAATGATTTTTTTAATTGTGCACAAGAAGAAAAGATAGATGATCAAAAACAAAATGTTAATGAAATAACAAGAAMTTTTGGGTACATTTTTCACTTTTGAAAATMCTGTTAATATACTTATAATAAAAACCATCTACACATTTTATATTATATATACCAATTTTCAATTTAAACACCTTAATCTTTAATTTTTCTTAACCCTGATTTAAGAGGATTGTGATTCAAACAAATTTTATATTTTTAATAATACACTAAACAGGTTATAAAAGTTGACCAAAGGTTTGTATGGTTTATATTAGAAGTATCYATACAGTGACTTATCTTAAAATAAGGATAATAAATATTTGTTTAATATTATTAAAATCAATTTTTAATTGTTTATGAAAATTATAGGCCAGAATCAACATCACCAAGTYTTTTATCTAGTGAATTAGCAACTCCRCAACAAATTTCAACAGTTACAACAAATGGGATATTTAATAATCAAKCAGATGAACTAAAAAAAATTAAGGTATTATMATAACTTATAAGCATTAAATATTTTATAGGCCTGMTTCAGCATATACAAATTTAAAAACTATTACATAATAAAATTAGCTACTATGTGAGAAAAAAATAGCTTTCCAATAATTTGGAATYGCATCAGTTAATACTGTATTAATAATATAAATAACGATTTAAGGTGGAGTTAGATGCCCACAAGAACTTGGTATCATCTCTTGGTGAAAAATATAATGTACTGGCACTTAAACATTTACAGTATAAGTCAAAAAGAAAAATGCAAATTGAAGCTTTAAAGTAAACAATGAACATTCAATAATTACCTRATTCCCTTATAATAATATATACAGGATGTCCCACAGAGATCTACAGAGATCTGACATTCTGACAAATGAAATAACTTTTGTTCTAATCAATATTTTTTAAAAATTTCTTTTGAATATAATCCATA